CTCTGGTCATTCTGCTGCTGCTAAGTCACTTCAGTCGTGTCCAACTCTGTGCGACCCCATAGACGGCAGCCCACCAGCTCTCCTGTCCCTGGGATTCTTGAGGCAAGAACACTGGAGTGGGTTGCCATTTCCTTCTCCAGTGCAAAGTGAAAAGTGAAAGTGAAGTCACTCAGTCGTGTCTGACTCTTCGCGACCCCACAGACTGCAGCCTACCCATGGGATTTTCCAGGCAAGAGCACTGGAGTGGGGTGCCATTGCCTTCTCCGACTCTGGTCATTAACTGCCTTCAAATTGTTGTCCTTAAAAGATTAGCCTCTATTTTATCTTTAATATAATTTTTTTGAAAATTAATCCTGTTTTAAAACTGGAGCCCATTATACAGAGTGAAGTAAGCCAGAAAGATTAACACCAATACAGTATACTAACGCATATACATGGGATTTAAAAGATGGTAATGATAACCCTATATGCAGGACAGAAAAAGAGACACAGATGTATAGAATAGACTTTTGGACTCTGTGGGAGAAGGCGAGGGTGGGATGATCTGAGAGAATAGCATTGAAACATGTATATTATCAAGTGTGAAACAGATCACCAGCCCAGGTTGGATGCATGAGACAAGTGCTCAGGGCTGGTGCACTGGAAAGACCCAGAGGGATGGGATGGGGAGGGAAGTGGGAGAGGGTATCAGGATGGGGAACACATGTAAATCCATGGCTGATTCATGTCAATGTATGGCAAAAACCACTACAATATTGTAAAGTAATTAGCCTCCAACTAATAAAAATAAATGAAAGAAAAGAAAATTAATCCTGTTTTAAGAAAATCACCTCCAAATTTTAATTAGTAATACAACAGACTTCCTTAGAGAAAAGATTAATAGTTTGGGATTACAAGGGAAGAGGAGAATTTATTTGAAATACCAAATAAGTGCCATGAAGATGGTGGCCATGAAACCTTAAGATGGCTAACAATGATACTACAACTTTCAGCATCCCTCTAAGCTTTCTCTAACGATTAAGGAGGTGCACTGGAAATACAGTAGTGGAAAAGTCAATACAACAGTAGAAAAATGGTAGAGTACTTAGAGAGGAAAGAACTTAATTAAAACTCAGATCATCCAGGCAAAAGTAATAATGAAACAATACACTATGCTACTTCTTATCTAATCAGTGAGTGCATGTGCTAAATCACTTCAGTTGTGTCCAACTCTTTGTGACCCTATGGACTGTAACCCGCCAGACTCTCTGTCCATGGGATTCTCCAGGCATGAACACTGGTTGCCGTGCCCTCCTCCAGGGCATCTTCCTGACCCAGGGGTCAAACCCACATCTCTAAAGTCTCCTGCATTGGCAGGTAGGCTTTTTACCACTAGCACCACCTGGGAAGCCCCTCTCTTCATATCAGAGATTGTCAAATTTATGTCCTGGTCTTCCTGTTCCCCAAAATACTTACTTTCCTTTACTAACAACTGTAAGATGGAAAATGTCTGTTGGGATGCACAAAGTATTTTCATAAACACTATTATTATTTAAGGAGGGTATTAAAAAGCTAAAGAATTGGACAAGGGACATTTACTGCAGTCTGAACAGATGCTTTTGCCCCATAACCTTCTATTTCACTCTGTTAAAGGGAGGAAGTCAGGACATCTTTACTCGTGAGTCAGAAACTTTCTTCAGGGTTAGAAACACTCTCTGCAGTGCTCAGAAACTGCTCTAGGAAGATTGCCTTGTTGCCTAATGAGCCCTAGAAAACCTGACTTTCTGCAAACATGGTTTTCTTTTCCCCAAGATCAATTCTTGACTCTCAATGAAACAGAGATGTGTATGTGTTTTCAGAGATGAAACACATCAAAGGAAACAAGAAATAAATACAGGATTAGGACTGAGTTTTAGTCAGGGAAAAAGTTAAAAATACAAATTCTAAGATACCTTACTCAATGCTAGAGAACAAGAAGGAAAAAATGCTTCAATACTACCATTAAAAATGTTTAAAACATCAAGGGACAAGGCAAATATGTCTCAAAAAGGAAATAATCTGTAAAATATCACTATTCGAATAAGGAAATATTTATGAAGTAACAATCCCAAGAAAAGAAAGGATAAAGTTCAAAAGTAAAGCAAACTTAGATCACTTTAACAAATGTAGTGTAACAGTGGACAGCACAATGGGTAAAGTCACATGGAACAAAACAAAAACAGAATGGCATAGGCTGAACACATGTTTCTTACTCCATACGCAGGGACTCTAAAGTGAGGATAAGGATTTAATTAAAGGGCACATATTCTCATATCACTAAAAAAGAGCATTTTAAATGGACTAAAATTTAAAAGTAACATTTTAATACAATGATTCACAGGAAGTGGCAAAGAATACTAATGTATGGAATTTTATTTTTTTCTCCCTTATTTTTAAACACTCAGACAAGGAAACTTTAAAATTAGAACTTTAAAATCACATGGAAATAAATTATTCATTTAAAAATTTCAAGAATTGTAAAATGAAAAATTTTTTTTGCAAGCAAATAGGATTTATTAAGAAGGAAAGTACAAAGCTCTCAACATGGACACTGACAGGGGGTAAGCAGTCCCTTAAAATGAAATATTTTAACACTTTAATTGAAAGATATATTTTCATAATCCTGGACAATCTTAGGAAACATACTCATCACTAAGGATACAACAAAAGGAGGAGGAATTCCCTGATGGTCCAGTGGTTAGGACTCGACACTTTCACTGCTGTGAGCCTGGGTTTCATCCTGGTTGGGGAACTAATATGCCACAAATTGTGTGACATGGCCAAAAAAAACCAGAGGGAAGAAAATTTGCACAGCAAAAGTCGTATCTATTGCTTATAGTATATTGTAAACAAATTATAAACAAAACTTATTTTTAAAATTAATTAAAAAAAAAAAAAAAACCTTGTTTACAGGCAGGCAGAGCTTGGAAGGCAACTGGAACAGTGAGCCTGTAAGAACAGTCAAGGGCTGGCTGACCAAGCTGGTACACGGTGCATCATCCAGACTATGACTAATATCAATTAAAATACAAAATAAATTTGTGAAAATTATAGACATCTATAAACATGAAATGTTTTATTTTGGGGGGCTCCAAAATCACTGCAGATGGTGACTGCAGCCATGAAATTAAAAGACACTTGATCCTTGGAAGAAAAGTTATGACTAACCTAGACAGCATATTAAAAAGCCTCTGTTTTTCACTTTGACAACAAAGGTCAATCTAGTCAAAGCTATGGTTTTTCCAGTAGTCATGTATGGATGTGAGAGTTGGATTACAAAGAAAGCCGAGCGCTGAAGAATTGATGCTTTTGAACTGTGGTGTTGGAGAAGACTCTTGAGAGTCCCTTGGACTACAAGGAGATCAAGCCAGTCAATCCTAAAGGAAATCAGTACTGAATATTCACTGGAAAGACTGAAGCTGAAGCTGAAGCACCAATACTTTGGCCACCTGATGTGAAGAACTGAGTCATTGGAAAAGACCCTGATGCTGGGAAAGACTGAAGGCAGGAGGAGAAGGGAACAACAGAGGATGAGATGGTTGGATGGTATCACTGACTCGATGGACTTGAGTTTGAGCAAGCTCTGGGAGTTGGTGATGGACAGGAAAGCCTGGTGTGCTGCAGTCCATGGGGCTGCAAAGAGTCAGACACAACTGCGCGACTGAAATGAACTGAACTGAAACATGAAATGTAAGTGTTTTTCTACATAATTCTAATAGGAAATATTTGGAGGGAAATCCTAAATTTCTAAAATGTAATAAGAGGTTTTATTGATTTTGCTTTGTTTTTGTCTCAATAAACAGGTTGGTAGTGCTGGCAACCATAGTCCAAATTTTTCAATTTGGTGTCTTCACCACTTGCTGCTACTGCTTGCTGTGGCTCAGTTCTTGAATTCTTTAAGTATGGTTACTAATTCATAATAACTATACAATCATAAAAGAGAATGAAATAATGCCATTTGTAGCAATATGGAAGGGCCTAGAGATTGTCATACTGAGTGAAGTTAGTTAGATAAACACAAATGATGTCACTTATATGTGGAATCTAAATAAATGATACAAATGAACTTATTTATAAAACAGAAACAGACTAACAGACATAGAAAACAAACTTATGGTTACCAGGGGTTACGTGCACAGAGGGATAAATTGGGAGGTTGAGACTGACATATACCCACTACTATACATAAAATAGATAACTAATAAGGACCTACTGTACAGTGCAGGGAACTCTACTCAACACTCTGTAATGGCCTATATAGGAAAAGAAGCTAAAAAAGAGTGGATATATATATAATTGATTCACTTTGCTGTACACCTAAAATTAACACAATGTTGTAAATTAATTATGCTCCAATAAAAAAATTTTAATGGAAAACAACAAATAAATTATAGCAGCACTATTTATAATAGCCAAGCAATCTAAGTGTCCATAAACAAATGAATGAATAATGAAGATGTGGCATATATGTAGCTATACGTATATATGTGTGTGTGTTTATATATATATAACAATGGAATATTACTCAGTCATAAAAAAGAATGAAATATTGCCATCGGCAGCAACATGGATGAACCAAGAGATTATCATACTAAGTGAAACAAATCAGAGAAAGATAACTATATAACTCATATGTGGAATCTAAAAAATAATACAAATAAACTTATTTACAAAACAGAAACAGACATAGAAGACAAACATGGTTATCAAAGGGGAATAGAGGAATGGAGGGATAACTCAGGAATATGGGATTAACAGATACATAACACTATATATAAAACAGATAACAACAAGGATTTACTGTACAGCACAGGGAATTATATTCAGTATCTTGTGAAAACCTATAATGAAAAAGAATTTGAAAAAGTGTGTGTGTGTGTGTATATATATATATATATATAAATCAGTTTGCTATATACTTGAAACTAACACAATACTGTAAATCAACTATAGTTCAATACAAAATTTTAAAAACTAAAAGCTGGAAAAAATTGCCATTTATTAGATCTAAGTTGTTGGATTTTCATTAACTAATTGATCAATTAAAACAGTATGAAAAGACTGAAGTCCTGCTAATGATATTGTGTTAAAGAAAAAACAAAAGGCAAAGAAAAGATCTGATTTCCTTCAAATCTCATACCTTGAAAACAAGCTGTCATTATAGTCTTCCATTTTATCATCCACAGGAAGTCTGCATTTTACTGAATACACCTTAGTCTCTCAATTCCAACAAAACAAATGCATTAAAGTATCAAGTTGACGTACTTGGTTAAGGGTAAAGATGATCTTCTCCAGCAGCTTTTTCAGGAGACACAAATCTTGCATGAAAATTATAAAAGTCATCATCTAACTGCTTCTTTTTCAATTTCTTCTTTATTTATTGTACAGCTATAAAAGAGAAAGTAAACTTTAGGCACTAACCAGAACTAGACTTGTCTATGTGCTTAGTCGCTCAGTTGTGTCCGACTCTTTACAACCCCATGGACTATAGCCCACCAGGCTCCTCTGTTCATGGGATTCTCCAGGCAAGAATATTGGAGTGGGTTGCGATGCCCTTCTCCAGGGGATCTTCCAGACCCAGAGATTGAACCCATGTGTCCTGCATTGCAGGCAGTTTCTTTACCATTGAGCCAGCAGGAAAGCCCAGACTTGTCAATATTTCTCCCTAAAAGAACACATTTTGGCCGTCCCTGGTGGCTCAGTGGTAAAGAATTCATCTGCCAATGCAGGAGACATGGATTCCATCCCTGGCCCAGCAAGATCCCACGTGCTGCGGAGCAACTAAGTGCATGAGCCACAACTATTGCGCCTGTGCTCCTGAGCCCAGAATCTGCAACTGCTGAGCCCGTGTGCTCCAACCAGTGAATCCCACGCACCCTGAGGCCCGTGCTCAGCAGCAGGAGGAGCCACCACAATGAGATGCCCACGTGCAGGAACTAGAGAAAACCCACACACAGCAACGAGCACCCAAACTGGCCAAAGAATAAATAAATAAATATTTAAACACACATACATTTCTCATCACCTTTTATTAGCTTGACTATCAAAAAAAGTCACATTATTGTGAATTCTTTCTTTTTATTTTTCATGTGAAAAACAGACTTGCTCTTAGATTTATGGTAATATAAGTACATTCAATTAGCATGAAAAAATGTTATTGTAAACAAATCTTGGTTTAAAAAAAAAAAAAGAGCCATCTCTCAAAAAGATCTTTTACCACTACTTCTAAACTTCTAAATTTCAGTTTCTTTCAGTGAGAGTCAAATATTATAGAGGACTATTGTCTTTGAAAATATAGCTTTAATGATATATACCTAAGTATGCTATAGGGCTTCCCAGTGGCTCAGTGGTAAAGAATCTGTCTGCCAGTGCAGGAGGCACAGGTTTGATCCCTGGGTCGGGAAGATTCCCCTAGAGAAGGAAATGACAACCCACTCCAGTATTCTTGCCTGGGAAATTCCATAGACAGAGGAGCATAGTGGGTTACAGTCCATGGGATCACAAAAGAACTGGACATGACTTAACAACTAAATAAAAACAAGTATACTATAAAATGTTTCATGGAAATTCATATGTGAAACAAAATTCCAAATTACTTATACATACTACTAAGTCAACTAAGCCAAAGACTTTTTAATATCTAAAGAATATAAAAATGAATGGGGTAAATCAAACAGAGGACCAATACTTTGTAAGAGAGTTGGAAAGAATATGATTAGCAACTCTTTAAGAAATAACCCTCAGTAATAAATGTCCAACACTCATAACAACTGGAATTCCTTATGTCTGTAAATAATCTTAGGCTAACAATTCTATTTTTAATAAATTATAATTGGTTGGAAACTGAGGTATGTCTACATTAATATCTGTCCCTTATCTACTCATGCCAAAAAAGTATTTTTAAAAATTTCTCTATGCTCTCCTCCAATTAATTTTTTTACTTGAATATATTTGATATATGACACTGTGTAAACTTAAGGTGAAGAACATGTTATTGTTTAGTTGCTAAGTCATGTCCAACTCTTTGCAACCCCATGGATTGTAGCCCACCAGACTCCTCTGTCCATGGGACTCTACCAAAGTGGGTTGCCATTTTTCTTCTTCAGTAAAACGTGTTACTTTGATATATTTAATGTATTGTAATATGACTGCTAGGTTTCCCAGGTGGTGCTAGTGGTAAAGAACCTACATGCCAATGCAACCATAACAGACACGGTTTCCATCCTTGGGTCAGGAAAATCCCCTGGAGAAAGGCATGGCAACCTACTCTAATATTCTTGCCTGCAGCATCCTATGGACAGAGGAGCCTGGCAGGCTGCAGTCAGTAGGGTTGTACAGAGTTGGACATGACTGAAGTGACTTAGCACATATGCAATACGACTGCTGTTGTATTGTTATTTGTCACATAAAAGTACAATATCATTGTCTCCATCACTTTCTGATTTGACCCCAGTCCAACATCTAAAAAGTTTTATCCTATGTGAATCCCTGTCTTATCACAATATCAGTTACATATAGAGTCATCAACAAAAGGATATCCCAGAGCATTTAAAAATATTTCCTATAATTTAAACAACAGAGATAGGAATTCTTCCCCATCTCTGGAAAAATAGATTACTCTGCTGAGTGATTTTGTGGGTTTTTTTTAAGATACATATAAGTAGAACTTTTCTAGATTGCTACAGTCAATTCTAGGATCCACGATTTAAGGGGAAGAAATCTGAAGTGTTTGGAGGAGTATGCAATGATTATTTTAAAAGTTATAAAATGAGAACTGCTTTTAAAATTATTAATGTTAAGAGAAGCAATTAAAATTTTGAAGTATTACTGTGGATTTGTTCACTTAGCAGCTGTAAGCAAACAGGGGTAGGAAATTAAATATTATTTCCCAACCTCCCTTGCAGCTGGGATTCCATATATGATTGGTTCAAACAATTGGTTGCACTCACTTGAAACTTTTACTCAGAGCTGAGTTCCATGGGGAGAGAAGCAGGACATGAAGTATCCATTTGTGCAGATCTAAAGTGTGGCAGTGGTGGTGTGGTTCTGGAGCTGGCAACTTCATGGCTTCTTAATCCAGTGGGTGGCTTCCTGATTTAGTAGACAGCTTCCCAACTGTTCCCAAAGCAGCAGCTTCTTCAGCAGCCTAGTCTTGTGATGCAGCTCCTAGAAGCTCAGACTGTTCCCTTCTTTCAGCCCTCCCAAAGATGCTGTGAGCTATCTATACACCCCTCCCACATTAATCTCATTCTGTTTGATAGCTGAAGAGGATTCAATGACCTACAATGAAGAATCTTAACCTATAGAGAATTTGGTAACTAGAAGTAAGGTATAGCAAGTAAAGCGATATTAAGAATGGAACTTGCTTATTGAGGAGGTCAGGTTTGGGGCAGTGATATCTCATGCAAACTCAGGATAAGGTATCAGAGAAAATGGTAGTAGAATTTCAAAACGCTAGCACATGTAGGCTCTGCCTTCCCTCTTTCAGCAAAGTCCAACAAGACAGATGTGACAGGCTAAGAATGATCAGGTCTAGAGATATGGAAGGGAATGTAGCTTTGCTGAGAGAACTGCTATCTACCAAATAAATTGATAAAGTCCCAAATCTGGAGCCCTGAAGAACTGAAAAAGGCAACTATTGTACTACCATACTCCAGACTGAAAGAATTATAAATAAAGATTCTAAGGAAGCTGCTAAAGCTTTCACAACCTTTCCAAGAACCTTCCCTTAAGAATTTTCTGCCAAATAATGGAAACTATCCTAAAGAAGAAGATCAGAGTAAGACTCTTGTTATCCCATCCCAGCCTACAGTTCAAAACAATCCTAAGTAGGTCCCACTCATTTAAGACCCAAAGGGAGAGAAAGAACATAGAGGTCAGCAAGTAAAAGATGAGGCTCTTTGTTAAAAGCAATCTTGATAAGATCTTTGTGCTTTCTCATGGTAAAAATTGAAGAAAACAGACCAGAGACCTACTAAGTTTTTAGGGAACTGTTGTTCCAAAAAGCAGAAGAAAACAAAAAACAAATAAAAACCCTAAGCCCAAGCTGAAACAGCCTGTAACTATCTAAAACAATCCCCAAGGCCCTAAACCCATAATAACAGGAAGAAAAGTGTAAAAGCTGTCCACTCTTCAAGAAAGGGACACTTTCCAAAGGCCACTTGTGTCCTTGAAGGTTACTGGGCAATAAAAACATCCTAGAGGGCAATGCCAAGGGCCCCTGAGGACGTAAGAGAAGGGAGCTCCTCCCAGAAAGGGGAAGCAGGGGTTGCCTGATAGAAAAACCAAAGAGTGTATTTATGGACAGAGCAGAGAGCTATTAGCACCTTGCTATTTTTGCCACAGAGTATTTTTTTTTTTTAATTTCCATGGATGTATGACTATTCTGTTTCTTGTTTTCCTCTTTTTTAAAAGGTTGATTTTACTGCAGTTATCCTGTACCTACCTCGTTATGCATACGGTGCTCAGGGGGCAGACACACTGCTTTTTAGTTTGCAAGTGGACGGAACGTAAGAAACCACATTCTATCCTCACAAAGGGGACTACACTCAGATATCATAGGCTTTGTGTTACAGTCATTAATGGATTCGATTTTGGTGGTTTCCTTTTGTGGTGGGGGAAGTGAGCGTTCTCTGTTTCAGAAGAATGTACACAGATATTTAGGTCACCAAAAGGCTTATTATGTTTTCAGAGCTGTGGTTGCCCATCAAACATTCTCCCTTCCCTTCTGAAATGGAATTTTTCCCTAGTTAAAAAATCCTAACTTTTAGCTGGTCTCACTTACACTGGATTTCTCAGCTTCCCTAGCAGCTAGATGGCAATGTGACACAGCTCTGGCCAACGAGATGTAAATTTAAGTGCTGTGTGGTTCTCTGCGAAAACTGCACCCAGGATGCTGACTCAGCTGGGGAAATTTCCTTTGGTTGCCCTTCGCCCACTGCTTCCAAAAGCCACTTTGGACACTGAAAATGAAATAACTTGAGAATAAAAACCATGCAATGAGGAGAGCAGAGCAGAAAGATGGGAACCTGGACACTACCTACTTACGGATTTCTTTTATGTAAAAGGCAAAAACTCTTCTTTAGTTAAACCGGCATTCTCTTTGGCTTTTCTGTTACATGTAGCAAAACCTGATCTTGAATGATAGAATATAACGCAAACATATTGTAAATGAAAAATGACCTTAAGGGGTAGGAGAAGCTGTTTGGTAGAAGAATTTCTAGCAGTTAATATTGCTGAAAGTTAAAAGTTTCAGGAAAATGTTACCAGCAAACACTGGGGAATACTATGGTATTCTTAGGAGAAGAATCACTAATATCAAAGAGACTTTTATTGAGAGAGGGGATGATAAGCACCCATAAGAGTATCTATCTTTATGAATAAATGAAAGCAATTTATTTTAAAAGCAATGGATGGAGCTTTCTCACTTAAATAGTTACTAATAATTTCATTAAATTATGGCATAGGCTGCTTAATTAAATAACTAAAGGAGAACAAAGGGAAAAGAAGGGAGGTATGAAGATGACAGCAGGTATTGAGTTTGTTTCCTTGCTGGTTCTGATAGGCTTCAATCCTTAAATATCTGTGTTAAAAGAAATATGTTCCCTTTTAAAAAGTATCTTCCTTTATTCCACATATGCTTTAAAATATTTATTGAGCAGAGGAGAAGGAAGGGAGGTAAAAAGATGACACAGATGATGATTCAACAATTTTCTTCCAAGTTCTGGTGGACTTCAGACTTTAAATGTCTGTACAAAAGAAAAATATATGCCCTCATTTTAAAGGTATCTTCTTTTACTCTGAATATTCTTTTATACATAGACGTATTGAGTATTTGTTTCTTAACTATGCTTAATCACAGATCACAATTTAAAAACATGTTCTCTGATAATATCAATAATTATTAGGAAGAATTATGAGTAATATTGAAAAAAATCATTTCACCATGTATATATATGGCTATCAAATTACATAGCTTTTGAAATGTACTAGTATATAAAGATTCTAGAGGCCTTTTCACTTTTCTATAATACAAACTGTTCTATTACTACACATAAAGAGAAAGTAGCACAGATATTAATGATTTGAAGTTATATTTGTAACAAAAGTAAATTTCTATTTATTCCATTTTTTAAAAATTTTCTCAAACAAACAAATAAAATTACATACGTGGCTAGATCTTTGATTCTCCACCAGGTGCTGATGGGGAAATTTGTTGTAATTTTTTTTGTTCCATCTGCTGTACAACCTAGTGAATGGAAAAAGAATGTCTTAAAAGTAAGTATTATTTGATTTTCTGATATGGATGACCTTTGCCAAAGCACAACAAACTAACTAAAAATTGTTGTCCAAAATGAGATATTCACATTTTAAAATTTATAGTCAACAATGCAGTTTAAAAAAATACTAAAATTTAAAATATAACAGCTAATTGAAATATTACAGTACAAAAACAGAGACATGTAGCAAAGACCCTAGAATCCTGTTTAATGCCACAAGCCTTTTACAAAATACCACCTGATGGTATTCCAGCTTCTGAGCCTCAAGTTGGTCATGCTGACGTTGTAGGTCTTCTTTTTGTTTCTGAAGTTCATCTGCCTTTTTCTTAAGTTTACTTTCTTGTACGGAGATAAGATTTTCATATTCCTTCAGTTCTTCCTCTGTGAAGAACTGTTGCTGGTCCAATGTCTAAAAGACAAAAAAAATGAGAAAAGAATAACCTTAGAAATAAAACAAAAAGCTCTGATTCAGCTTTCAAATTCTATGATTAACAAAGTACAAAAGAATATCTATAGTATTATATCTTTGGGGTAATAAAGAAGGGGAAAAAGAAAATATATACTTATATTTATCTGGGCAAAAACTATGACAGGAAGGAAAAACCCAGAAACTACTGAGACTGGTTATTGGTCCATGAATCAAGGTAAATTGGAAGTGGTCACACAGGAGATGGCAGAAGTGAACATTGACATTTTAGGAATCAGAGAACTAGAATGGACTGGAATGGGCAAATTTAATTCAGATGACCATTACATCTACTACTGTGGGCAAGATTACCTTAGGAAAAAATGGAGTACCCTCTTAGTCAACAAAAGAGTTTGAAATGCAGTACTTGGGTGCATCTCAAAAACGACAGAATGATCTCTGTTCATTTCCAAGGCAAACCATTCAATATCATAGTAATCCAAGTCTATGCCCCAAGCAGTAATGCTGAAGAACCTTAAGTTGAATGGTTCTATGAAGACCTACAAGACCTTCTAGAACTAACACCCAAAAAAGATGTTCTCATCACAGGAGACAGGAATGCACAAGTAGGAAGTCAAGAGATACCTGGAGTAATAGGAAAATTTGGCCTTGGAGTACAAAATGAAGCAGGACAAAGGTTAACAGAGTTTTGCCAAGAGAATGCACTGGTCATAGCAAACACCCTCTTCCAACAACACAAGAGAAGACTCTACACATGGACATCACCAGATGATCAATACTGAAATCAGATTGATTATATTCTTCAAAGCCAAAGATGGAGAAGCTCTGTACAGTCAGCAAAAACAAGACCGGGAGCTGACTGTGGCTCAGACCATGAACTCTTTATTGCAAAATTCAGACTTAAATTGAAGAAAGTAGGGAAAACCACTAGACCATTCAGGTATGACCTAAATCAAATCCCTTACAATTATACAGTGGAAGTGAGAAATAGATTCAAGGGATTAGATTGCCTGAAAAACTATGGACAGAGGTTCATGACATCGTAGGAGGAAGGGATCAAGACCATCTCCAAAAAAGAAATGTAAAAAGGCAAAATGGTTGTCTGAGGAGGCCTTACAAATAGATGAGAAAAGAAGAGAACCTAAAGGCAAAGGAGAAAAGGAAAGATACACCCATTCAAATGCAGAGTTCCAAAGAATAGCAAGGAGAGGTAAGAAAGCCTTCCTCAGTGATCAGTGCAAATAGACAAAAACAATAGAATGGGAAAGACTAGAGATCTCTTCAAGAAAATTAGAGATACCAAGGGAACACTTCATGCAAAGATGGGCACAATAAAGGACAGAAATGGTATGGACCTAACAGAAGGAGAAGATATTAAGAAGAGGTGGCAACAATACACGAAAGAACTATACAAAAAAGATGTTCATAACCCATATAAACACAACGGTGTGATCACTCACCTAGAGCCAGGCATTGTGAAATGCGAAGTCAAGTGGGCCTTAAGAAGCATCACTACAAACAAAGCTAGTTGAGGTGATGGAATTCCAATTGAGCTATTTCAAATCCTAAAAGAGGATGCTGTGAAAGTGCTGCACTCAATATGTCAGCAAATTTGGAAAACTCAGCAGTGGCCACAGGACTGGAAAAGGTCAGTTTTCGTTCCAATCCCAAAGAAAGGCAATGCCAAAGAATGTTCAAACTATCACACAATTGCACTCATCTCACAGGCTAGCAAAGCAATGCTCAAAATTCTCCAAGTGAGGCTTCAACAGTATGTGAACAGTGAAATTCCAGATGTTCAAGCTGGATTTAGAAAAAGCAGAGAAACCAGAGATCAAATAGCCAACATCTGTTGGATTATTGAAAAAGCAAGAGAGTTCCAGAAAAATATCTATTTCTGCGTTATTGACCATGCTTTAGCCTTTGACTGTGTGGATCACAATAAACTGTGGAAAATTCTGAAAGAGATAGAAATACCAGACCAACCTACCTGTCTCCTGAGAAATCTGTATGCAGGTCAAGAAGTTAGAACTGGACATGGAACAACAGACAGGTTCCAAATTGGGAAAGGAGTATGTCAAGGCTGTATACTGTCACCCTGCTTATTTAACTTATATGCAGAGTACATCATGTGAAATGCCAGGCTAGATGAAGCACAAGCTGGAATCAAGATTTCCAGGAGAAATATCAATAACCTCAGATACACAGCTGACACCACCCATATGGCAGAAAGTGAAGACTAAAGAGCCTCTTGATGAAAGTGAAAGAGGAGAGTAAAAAGTTGACTTAAAACTGAACATTCAAAAAACTAAGATTATGGCATCTGGTCCCATCACTTCATGGCAAATAGATGGGGAAACAGTGGAAATAGTGACAGACTTTATTTTGAGGGGCTCCAAAATCACTGCAGATGGTGACTGCAGCCATGAAATTAAAAGACGCTTGCTCCTTGGAAGAAAAGCTATGACCAACCTAGACAGCATATTAAAAAGCAGAGACATTACTTTACCGACAAAGATCTGTCTAGTCAATGCTATGGTTTTTCCAGTAGTCATGTATGGATGTGAGAGTTGGACTATAAAGAAGGCTGAGCACTGAAGAATTGATGCTTTTGAACTGTGATGTTGGGGAAGACTCCTGAGAGTCAGTCCCTTGGACTGCAAGGAGATCCAACCAGTCTAATCCTAAAGAAAATCAGTCCTGAACATTCATTGGAAGGACTGATGCTGAAGTTGAAACTCCAATACTTTGGCCACCTGATGCAAAGAACTGACTCATTGGAAAAGAACCTGATGCTGGGAAAGACTGAAGGCAGGAGGAGAAGGGGACAACAGAGGATGAGATCATTGGATGGCATCACCGGCTCAATGGACATGAGTTTGAGCAAGCTCCCGGAGCTGGTGATGAACAGGGAAGCCTGGCGTGCTACAGTCCATGGGGTTGCAAAGAGTTGGACACAACTGAGCAACTGAACTGAACTGAATGGGATTGATTACCTACAGAATAGAGAACTGGGTGGTAAGGACAAAGAAAATGTGAGAAAGAAAATCATACTTCTCTGAATAAATCTTTTTGCACAGATGTGATTGCTGGTAATATGTCAATGTTTCACATGCTCAATAAACAAACAAAATCCTTAAGGACAGAAAATTTCTCCATATTGAATACAAATAGAAACAAATAAATAATACTTTTATTTTAAGTGAACAAAATACTTCACAGAAGGGGGAGGGGGAAAAAAGAACTAATCCAAGAAACTTGTTTTCACAGTATTTGGACTATACATGCTTAGGCTAAAACAATGACAAAAAATGTAAACAAATATTAAAGTCTGGTTTTTCAGAGATATTGATTAGCAATTCTGAAACTCTATGTAAATCCTAGGATTGAAGAAATAAGTAAATATTATTCCCATGAAAAACCTTACAAATATTCCCTTGGTCCTGGTAATACTGCATTGAGAATCTATCTTATAAAATAATCCCAAACACAAAAAAACTTAATATAAAAAGGTATTAATAGCAGCACTGTCTTTTTAAGTAACAATAAAAGACTGGAAATAACCTAAATGTCTAACCCTCAGAAACAGTTAAGTACCTCCAAAGTTATTAAAACCATGCTTACCAATACTTTTGATATGATGTTGAATGATTTTTTTTTTTAAGGATTCTGGCAGTGGATTAGACAAGTTACTTTTCATATTACCAAAGGTAAAATAGTAATTTTACATTGGGAAAGCCTGGATGACACCACCTTAACCAAATAATCAAAGTTAACCTAGCCAGTTATGGAAATAATCAGCAGCATATGCTTCTTGATATGATGCACTTAGCATCACTTCAGTGATAATCCTACCAAAAGTAGGAATCATAAAGAAACAGCAGACAAATTCAAACTGAGGGTCATTCCACATAATAACTGGTCTGTACTTTTTAGAAATATCAGTTACTTCATGCAAATAGAGGGAGAAAAAGAGGGAGGTAGTGACAGATTTCCTCTTCTTGGACTCTAAAATCACTGCGGATGGTGAATGCAGCCATGAAATCAGAAGACGTTTGCTTATTGGCAGGAAAATTATAACAAACCTAGATAGTGTTTTGAAAAGGAGAGACATTACTCCTCTGACAAAGGTCTGTATAGTCAAGGCTATGGTCTTCCCAGTGGTCACATACAGCTGCGAGAGCTGGACTATAAAGAAGGCGGAGCGCCAAAGAATTTATGCCTTTGAACTGTGGTGCTGGAGGAGACTCCTGAGAATCCCTTGGACAGCAAGGAGTTCAAACTAGTCAACCTTAAGGGAAATCAACCCCGAATACTCATTGGCCGGACTGATGCTGAAGCTGAAACTCCAGTATTTTGGTCATCTGATGGGAACAACTAACTCATTAGAAAAGTCCCTGATGCTTGGAAATATTGAGGGCAGAAGGAGAAGAGGGTATTGGAGGATGAGATGGCTGGATGGCATCACCAATGCAATGGACATGAACTTGGGCAAACTTCGGGAGATGGTGAGAGACACAGAGGCCTGGCGTGTTGCAGTCCATGGGGTCACAAAGTAGGACACAAATGGGTGACTGAACAACTTTTTAGAAATATCAATGCTATGAGATACAAAGACTCAGAAACTTCCAGATTCAATGACACTAGAAAGACAGTACAACTAAATCCAATGCATGATCTTGGATTTTCCTTTGTAAAGGACAATACAGGGAAAATTAACAAAAATCTCAATAAAAGCTAGAGATTAGAGAATAGTATTGTGTATAGCATTGATAATCTTACTGTGATTATATAAGATAAATCTTTGCAGAAAAAACACCCTCAAGTATTTAAGGTTAAAGCAGCATCATGTGCAACTGTCAAAAAAAAGGTGTTTGGCAATTCCTTGTTTATTCTTGCAGCTTTTTTTTTAAATCTGAAATTAAGTCAAAGTGAAAAAGGTATGTAATTATCTATTGATCCAGTTCACCAGAAGCATTCAAGGGAATTCATGTTCAAATAACCTGAGCATTCTTCTTCTTCACCAATGTCCAGAAATAGTTCAAATGTTAGACAAAAACTTAAAACAAAAAAGAAGCTGATTTATTTAACTTCAAACTAAGATGACCAATTGTCCCAATTTGTCCAAGACCATCCACTTTAAAACACTGAAAAGTTACACATCCTTGGAAACTCCTCAATCCAAGGCAAACCAGGACAGTTGGCCACCTTATTTCAAACTAACTAGAGGTAATTTTATTTTATACAGGAAAAGACAATGTTCTCTTTTCAGTCTACTTCGGTTGGTACCTCTCAACCATTCTTTTCTTTTTTTTTTTTTCATTTATTTTTATTAGTTGGAGGCTAATTACTTTATAATATTGTAGTCGTTTTTGCCATACATTGACATGAATCAGCCATGGATTTACATGTGTTCCCCACCCTGAACCCCCCTCCCACCTCCCTTCCCATCCCATCCCTCTGGGTCATCCCACTGCACCAGCCCCGAGCACTTGTCTCATGCATCCAACCTGGACTAGAGATCTGTTTCACACTAGATAATATACATGTTTCGATGCTGTTCTCTCAGATCATCCCACCCTCACCTTCTCCCATAGGGTCCAAAAGTCTGTTCTATACATCTGTGTCTCTTTTTCTGTTTTGCATATAGGGTTATCATTACCATCTTTCTAAATTCCATATATATGTGTTAGTATACTGTATTGGTGTTAATCTTTCTGGCTTACTTCACTCTGTATAATGGGCTCCAGTTTTATCCATCTCATTAGAACTGATTCAAATGTATTCTTTTTAATGGCTGAGTAATATTCCATGGTGTATATGTACCACAGCTTCCTTATCCATTCATCTGCTGATGGGCATCTAGGTTGCTTCCATGTCCTGGCTATTATAAACAGTGCTGCGATGAACATTGGGGTACACGTGTCTCTTTCAGATCTGGTTTCCTCGGTGTGTATGCCCAGGAGTGGGATTGCTGGGTCATATAGCAGTTCTATTTCCAGTTTTTTAAGGAATCTCCACACTGTTCTCCATAGTGGCTGTACTAGTTTGCATTCCCACCAACAGTGTAAGAGGGTTCCCTTTTCTCCACACCCTCTCCAACATTTATTGCTTGTAGACTTTTGGATAGCAGCCATTCTGACTGGTGTGTAATGGTACCTCATTGAGTCAACCATTCTTTTCAAGACGTGTCTGCACTCACTTATACACAGTAAACTGTGGTATAAATTCAAATACCTTTGGCGGGGAGCAATTTGGCAGCTATGTTTAGAAACTAAAACCTGCTCATAAAACTTGAGAAAAGTTCTATTTCTAGGAGTTAATCTTAGGGAAATCATCACAGATGCCCCAAAATGCATGAACAAATGGATAGTTATCACAATGTTATTTATCACAGTAAAAAAAAAAACAAAAGTCTAAATCTGGAAGAATGGCTATAAAAATTTTGCTATCACACAATTGCATGCTAAGTGGTCATTTTTTAAATCATGATTTTGAGACGTGGCTTTGGAAATTTTTCATGAAATATCACTAAATTTTACAAAACAGAATTTCACAAAGTCATTTATATAGTATAAAGCCATTTAAAACATATATAGATATGAATTTATGCATATATATAAACTAAAAATGGGACAGACACTATTTATACACTGTACGCTATATATATGCATATACTAAATACACAAAGGATTTCCAAACTTGCATAACACAATGCATAATTTGTGTCTATTTCTGGATGGTACAATTACATGTAACTTTCAATTCACTCTTCAAATGTATCCATATTTTTAATTTTCAAGAATGAGCATTATTTTACACTTAAGTGCAATTTTAAAAAGACTTCTAATTACATGCAATGTGATTATTAGTAGAGATCAGCTGCCACAGCTTTTCAAGAAATCGAGTTCATTATTTTATAGTGACATTTTATGTGAAAAGCCAAGATGGTAAAACTATCCATGCAAACATAATGGCAAATAAATGTTAAAAGGGAATAAACTGATATAAATTTCTTGAACCACACATCCATTTCAAGTAGGTTCTCTTACCTCCCAGTTATCCGGCTCTAAGAATTCCTTTTTTTCTGTAGCCTTTAGAAATTCCTCTAGTGTCACCAATCGGTCTTTGTTAGTATCAACCTGATTAAAGGAAAATGTATATGTAAAATAAAATTACTCTTTCTCATTATTTAGACACTAGAAATTCTTCTAATAGATGCTGCTACATAAACATACAGCAATTAGCATTAGCCTAACATCCATAGAAACTGAGGGAGAAAAAAACAGAACACTCAATATCATACTAGAATCAGAAAATAGATAACTTTCTCTTCTATATAATTCAAATTTAAAAATACCTGAAATCCCCAAAGATCACCAAGTTTGAGTCTGCTGATATGACTGGTTAGACTAATATTATTTTCCTTCCTCCCTACACCATTTATAATTCCTTTTGAAGCTAAGTGCTTGGGCAACAATCTTCCCAGAAAAAGGACATTTTTAGGCGAGAATAAAGGAGTTTAAGTTAAATGCTCACAGCATTTTTTCCTAAAAACAAACAACTAACTAAATCAAAGATGAAGTTGACAATCTTTCCAAATCCTTCTCAGTGGCTCTTATAGACTATGGCAAATTCAGTTACAAAAGTGAACTCTATGATGGCCAAAGAAATTCATTTGTTATGTAAGATGCCAGCCCTCAACAGAAATCCCAATTTACCATGAATAGTTCAAATATCAGGTGAAAATCCCTGAAGCAAAGCGGTGGGCTTGGGGAATTCCCTGGTGGTCTAGCAGTTAGGACTCTACACTTTCACTGCCAACAGTCTTGGGTTCAAGCATGCTCAGGGAACTGAGATCCCACAAGCTAATCACACAAGCAATGCAGCACAGACAAAAACAGAAACCGTGGGCTTAAGTTATCCTGTCTATGATAGCTCTTTCAGAGTTTTTAGCTTAATAACATGAACAAGAAATAAATATTTGTTGCTATAAACCATTGAGGCATTGAATTTTTAATTTGTTAGCAAAAATTAATTTTTTACTTCTAAAGAATGTTGTATAGCATTCTTTTATATGCAGAGCATCTTAATCTTTTAAAACATTTTAAAGTAGTTACAAAATAATTTTATTTACACTAAGGGAATCTACTGAGTGTTAAGAATCAAAAATGCAAAATACAATTATATATCTATTCTGTATATTTGTTTTCCATTTAACAAGATTTATTGCAAGAACTTGAATAATCTGCAGAAGTTACAGGTAAACATTTCAAACATACCTCATGCATTACATGTTCCCTCATTCTAAGCCTTTCTTCCTCCATTTCTACCATATCATCCTCTTCATTTTTGGGGTCATATACTTTCTCCAACTAAAAGGAAAATTTTAAAACCAACATAAAAGAAAGGAAGATAATAGAAGGGAAAAAGAGAGAGCAAAGCCACTGAATACTTAATGAACTCATTTACCTCTTTAGTAAATAGGGCTTCTAATTCTTGTTCATCTAGGAAGCCATCACTATTGACATCTAAAGTTTAAAAGTTACAAATGCAAAAACTGATTTTAATGCCTTAGAAAATAGATAGTTAAAGTACAACTAATTACAAGTGGTTTGCAAAAATATTACTTACATAAAGCATCAACATGCTACAGAAAAAGGTTTCTTTCTTTTTATGAAGCCTCCGATCAGTCCAACTGATAACAATTCACTACTTACTCATAATTCACCATAGTTATTGAGAAAAATACATGTTAACCAATTTTTCCCAAAATATAAAGCAATGTGCTTTAAGACTATATTTTAATATCACAGCCTAAAGTCTATTAGATGCAACGTAGCTAGTCACTTTACAGAGAAACTTGCAGTAAGTCATATAATGATTCAAAAATAAAAGCAAGTATAAAGACAGCTACTGAACTAAAATATTTTATACTGCAGACCAGTAATAAAGACTATTATACTACCCTTGAGAAAAACTCTAAATATTTACTATCAGTAGGACTCAATTAGGAAAGTTTAGCAGAAATCAATTAAGACTAAAGCATCTATTATTTTTCAAATAGATGATATAAATATTAATATTTGAATCAACTCTGTTACCATGTAATTTGAAAAATGTCTTGGGGTCGAAGTCATTAGGATCCAATCCATCAGCCTCTTCCCATACTTCTTTAAGCTGATCTTTGCTTCCCTGTGAATCAATTTAAAAAAAACACATCAACTGTAATCCATATATAGAGACTCAAATGCAAAATTGAAAAACTATGAAAAATTAACTCAAGATTTTAAGAACTAATAACATAAAATTCTACTATCTGGCACAAAGAAGTATCTTCATTTAATTATGATTTTATATATATTTTGTTTTAATTAATTTATTTATTTTTAATTGAAGGACAATTGCTTTACAGTATTGTGTTGGTTTCTGCCATATATCAACATGAATCAGCCATAGGTAAAGTCACAGTCCTTACTGGATGATTAACTTTAGGATGATTTTCATGCTTTTTCTTCATTTCTGCAAATTTAGATTCTTCTTCTTTTCTCTTTTCTTCACTCAGTGTTTTTAAATACTCTCTCCTTTCATGTTCCTTCATCATTTCATATTTTTTAAATTCTTCATGCCGAGCCTTATCATAGTGTTCCAAATCACTTGTAGCCTATAAAGCAGTATTTAAATTAAATAAGAAGATGTGCTTGAAAATATAAATAAAAGTTTTCTTCCATATAGCATACTCTCTAACAGAAGGTAGTATAGGAGGGCTAAAACATACTCAACTTTCGTTTTAAATTCTACCCTTCTAATTTAGTCATTATTGTCAGAGATGGGCTTCCCAGGCGGTTCAGTGGTAAAGAATCCGTCTGCCAATATGGGAGATGCACGTTCACGCTCTGCATCAGGAAGATCCCTTGGAGAAGGAAATGGCAACCCACTCCAGTATTCTTGCCTGGGAAATCCCATGGACAGAGGAGCCTGGAGGGCTACAGTCCATGGGCTCAAAAAGGAGTCAGACATGACTTAGCAACTAAACCAATCAACACTATCAGAGGGGTAGGCATTCAAAGAAGCTAAAAGGTCAAAACTAGTTTCAACCTTAGGAAGTTCCGCATAAGCAAGTAATATATAAATTCATTTTAAAAGAAGAAAAAGGAAGAGACTGTATCAAATCTGTACCATATAGAGAACTAGAATGGTTTCTAACAACTTAACTAAACATAAGAATACCCAGACTAGAACATCTAGTCTACTAACTCCAAACAGTACAACACAGGAAGTCTATGAACTGCTATCTAAAATTCCTGAGGCCAGATGTGTTTCAGAATCTTCAAGATTTTAGAAAAGATATATGGCATATATGCAATAGTATGTAACACCCATGAAGAGTATAATCAAATAGATGAATACTTCTTTATCAAAATCTATGAGTACTCATATTAAGTAAGCTAAGAAAAAAACTATAAACAGTCTTACTAGAATTCAAGCTAGGTTTCCATTTTTATAGTATTTTGGATTTGGGAATTGTTGGCAAGGGATTACAGATCTGTATGTCTACATTATTATCTGTACTATAAGGGTTACACTATCTCCCTTTAAAGATATTCTAGAGTGTATACACTACCACTTCATGGAATTTGTCAAATTACGAAATCTCAAAGCTACAACAAAAACAATATATTTTGACAATTATTCTCACCGCTTTGATTAGCATATCTAAATCTGTAGATTCAAACTTGTCAGGATTCAGGTGGTTTAGATGATCAAATTGTTTTAGAAGAGCATGGTGGTCTATACCTGTATCTGAAAGAAAATGAGAAAACTGTAAACAATAAGTTACTAGAAGCTAGAATCATTAATTAATATAAATGATACATAAGAATAAAAATTTATATTTTATAAGAAAGCTCAACATTTTAGATTAAAGGTTAATTTTTTTTAAGAATATTGTACACATTATTATTCTAGGCAAAGATAATATCATTGAATCTGGAATGGAATACAATTTAATGTGTGCATTTTAATGTTATTTCAAGAAAGACTAGTTGACTATCAGTGTAACTTACAGTAAAAATTTTTTTCTTCTTTTTAATTTATTTTTTTATTGAAGGATAATTGCTTTATAGAATTTTGTTTTCTGTCAAACCTCAACATGAATCAGCCATTGGTATACATATATTCCCTCCCTTTTGAACCTCCCTCCCATCTCCCTCCCCATCCCACCCCTCTAGGTGGATATAGAGCCCCTGTTTGAGTTTCCTGAGCCATATAGCAAATTCCCATTCGCTATCTATTTTACTTATGGTGATGTAAGTTTCCATGTTACTCTTTCCATACATCTCACCCTCTCCTCCCCTCTCCCCATGTCCCAAATATCCATCAACAGGGTTCTGGTATATAAATTATGATATATATATATAATGGAAATATATGCAGCTGCTAAAAAAAAAAAGATGGTCTCTGCATATTAATACAGAAAGCTCTCCAAAATATATTATTAAAGGAAAAATAAACAGCACAAAATGTATATTGCATATATCTTTTGCATAAAAAGAGAGGAAAAATTAGAACTTTTATTTGTATTTGCTTATATATGAGTAAAGAAACTCAGGAAGGATGGTATTAGGGGGCAGTGGAAACTAATAATGTACAAAACTATCCAGGAACTTTCTTATACTCTCTTGTTTTAAACCATATGAATCTATTGCCTACTTTAAAAATTACACATACACCTCCCCCCAATCCCTGTGGCTCAGCTGGTAAAGAATCCACCCACAATGCAAGAGACCTGGGTTCAATCCCTGGGTTGGGAAGATCCCCTGGAGAAGGGAAAGGCTACCCACTCAATATTCTGGCCTGGAGAACTCCATGGCCTGTATAGTCCATGGGGTCGCAAAGAGTCGGAAACGACTGAGCGACTTTCACTTTCAAATTAAGAAACATTAAGCTCTTCTTCAAATTATCAGAAATTTTAACTCATAAATTGTGAATCAAGAAGAAAATATTCATAACTTTTCTAAGGATGTAAGACAGTTTACTTTAGATAATGAAATCTAGCCCCTGTCTTGGAATAAAGAAAACATTGCCAAGATTAAGGAGATGCTGCTGCTGCTGCTGCTAAATCGCTTCAGTCGTGTCTGACTCTGTGTGACCCCATAGATGGCAGCCCACCAGGCTCCCCTGTCCCTGGGATTCTTCAGGCAAGAACACTGGAGTGGGTTGCCATTTCCTTCTCCAATGCGTGGAAGTGAAAAGTGAAAGTGAAGTCGCTCAGTCGTGTCCGACTCCTACCGACCCCATGGACCGCAGCCTACCAAACTCCTCCGACCATGGGATTTTCCAGGCAAGAGTACTGGAGTGGGTTGCCATTGCCTTCTCTGAGATTAAGGACGATGGAAGTTGTCTAAATGTAAAGAAATCTCAAGCCACCTTAGGCCTAGCTTTAAGGACAGAATTGCCTTGTGTGTCTGACTGCATGAAGTAGGATGGTATGAGTTAGTTCACCTCTCATTGATGTCCTTGGTTTCAGGATAATGAGTATTTGGTACTTGTTTTCTAAGTCTATTCACCAGCAGAGAGTTTACCCTCTACACTGAAGTGAAGTGAAGAAGTGAAGTGAAGTCGCTCAGTCATGTCCGACTCTTTGCGACCTCATGGACTGTAGCCTACCAGGCTCCTCTGTCCATAGGATTTTCCAGGCAAAAGTACTGGAGTGGGTTGCCATTTCCTTCCCCAGAGGATCTTCCCAACCCAGGCATCAAACCTGGGTCTCCTGCATTGTAGGAATATGCTTTACTGTCTGAGCCACGAGGGGTCCCCAACCTCCAGGAGCTAATGCCTGATGATCTGACATAGAATGAATGAATGAATGAAAGTCGCTCAGTTGTGTCTGACTCTTTGCAACCCCATGGACTATACGGCCTATGGAATTCTCTAGGCCAGAATACTGGAGTGGATAGCCTTTCCCTTCTCCAGGGATCTAAGGTGGAAGCAAAGTAATAATAATAGAAATGTAGTATACATTAAATGTAAAGCACTTGATTCATCCTGAAATCATCCCCATCACCATCAGTTCATGGAAAAAATGTCTTCCACGAAACTGGTCCTTGGTACCAAAGAGTTTGGGGACCACTGCTCTACACAATTTCTCCAATATGATCCATTGACCAGAGGTACATGTTTAAAATGCATATTACTTATCCCCAGAATCAGCATATATAGAGATGAGATTCAGTAATTTGTATTTTTAAACTAGCTCCCCAGGTGACTTTTATGCAACTGGAGTTTAAAAATTGATATTCTGCCCTTAATAAATATTCAGATATTTATTGATGACAATGAACCACCCCGATAACCAACCTATACAGGCATATTACAAGGATACAGGAGCCAACTTGAAGGGTATCTCACTTGCCAAATCTGGCCCCTGGGTTTTGATTCATAATTAGAAAGGCCATTCCAAGACAATAAAGGAATTCACTTATGTTGTCAACTTTGCTTTTATGGTTTTATTTTCTACACTGAAATCTTTGATTTACATAAGCACTTATCCTGATATATATGAGATATAAATCTAACTGTACCTTTTTCCAAATGGCTATCCAACTCTATTAAGACCACTTATTTTTTTTAATCTTTATCTAATAATGAGATACCACCTTTAATGCAAACTAAATTATATATGTATTTAATTTTATTTCTGGAATTTTTATTTTGTTTCACTGGTCCTTCTACTTACATGACAAAATCATAGAGTTCTAATGTCTGATGTTCAGTGATATGTTTTGATATCTAATATATCAAGTCCTTCTTCTTTGTTCTTCCTAAGAGGCATATTGCTTTTCTTGCTTATTTCCCTTTTCATATAAATTTTAAAATTAACTTTGCCAGTACCAGGGGAAAAATGTACATCTTTTTTATTTGGATCATGTTAAATTTGTAAATTAATCTAGGAAGAATTGACATGTTTATAATGCTGAGTTTTGTATCAGAAAAATGCTATGTCTTCCTTGTTTTTTCAAATCTACTTTTGTGTCCTTCAGGAACATTTTCAAGTTTTTATCTGTAAGTCTCTCACATCTCTTAACAGGTTTATTTTGGGTATTTTATTTTTGTTGGTATTGTGAATAGTCTTCTCTTCCATTACATCTCCTAACTGGCTCTTCTTTGCACATATGAAAAAACACTGATTTCTATATATTGTTTGTGTGCATGCTAAGTTGTTTCAGTCAGATCTGACTCTTTGAGACCCTATGGACCATAGCCCACCAGGCTTCTCTGTTCATGGGATTCTCCAGGAAAGAATACTGGAGTGGATGCATGAGACAAGTGTTCGGGCCTGGTGCACTGGGAAGACCCAGAGGAATTGGGTGGAGAGGGAGGTGGGAGGGGGGATCGGGATGGAGAATACATGTAAATCCATGGCTGATTCATGTCAACGTATGACAAAAACCACTACAATATCGTAAAGTAATTAGTCTCCAACTAATAAAAATAAATGAAAAAAAAAAAAGAATACTGGAGTGGGTTGCCATTCTGTCCTCCAGGGTATCTTCCCTAAAGATACCCTGGGATTAAATTTGTGTCTCTTACATCTCCTGCATTGGCAGGAGGGTTCTTTACCACTAACACCACCTGGGATGCCCTCTGTATATTGTTTACCTTGCTGAATATTCCTGTTGTATATACTAAGTTTTTCAGACAATTACATTGAGTTTTCCAAGCACCTATTATCTGCAAATAAAGATGGTTTTATTGCCTACTTTCCATTTACTTCACCTCCAATTTTTTCATTTGTATAATTGCTTTGATTAATACCTCCAATACAATATTAATTAGTAGTGGTAACATAGCAAGCATCATTGTTTTGTTTCTAATTTTAGTTAAAATACATATTTCTGTTTCTCCAATAAGTATGTGTAGCTGAGCAGGACATATGTGATCATGTTACAGAAATATCTACTGATTACTATTTTATTACTTTTAAAAAATTAATTAGGTGTGTTAATTCCTGTCAAATGCCTTTTCTGAATATATGGAGGTGATCATATGAACTTTCTTTGAGATATCTTCACATTTCGAAAACTCTGCTTCTTAGCTGTGTAATCTCCTCATAGTCTAAAATTAGAATATGGGAGGATAAATAGGCAGAGCCAGAGGAGTTTTAGAGCAGTGAAACTACTCTGTATGATACTATAATGGTAGACACATGTCATTATAAATTTACCTGGACCCATAAACCAAGAGTGAAATATAAACTATGGATTTGGGAGTATCATGATATGTCAGTGTAGGTTCATCAGTTGTTGGGAGATGTTGGTATTGGGGTAGGCTGTGAATGTTTGGAGACAGGGGGTATATGGGAAATATCTGTACCTTCCCCTCAATCTTGCTATGAACCTTATATTGTACCAAAACCAAATATCTTAATTTTTAAAGAAAAATTGAGGGGAATTCCCTAGTGGTCCAGTGTTTTAGAGTCCACACTTTCAATGCAGAGAGCCCAAGTTCGATCCTTGGTCAGGGAACTAGATTCTGCGTGCCACAATGAAGTTCCAAGATACCCCCATGCCACAACTAAGACCAGGCACAGCCAAAGAAACACATAAATAAATAAATATAATTTTTTTAAAAATACAAATTTGAAAGATTTATTCTAATTCATTATTTGTCCTTTGACTCTGCAAGTTCTTTTGTCACCAAAAAATTTTTTCTTCCTGTGTCTACATATATAATAATTTATAATATTAGATTTCCTAAAAAGTTAATCTTGCATTCCTAAAATAAATCCACTTGCTATGACAGAGTATTCTTTTAACATCCAATTATTTTGGTTTTGGCATCAATACACGATAAGAGTGTGGAAGTTTCCTTCTTCATTTGTGCTCTGGAATACTTTAAATAGCACTGACAATCTGCTCTCTAATGGTTTAGCGGAATTGCCTTTGGCATTGTCTGAACCTGGTGTTTTTGTGGAGCTAGCTCTGACAACTTTTATATTTCATCTATGAAAATTGTTCTATTTAGTTTCTCTCCCCTACTTTCTTTTGGTCTTCTTTGATGTTATTTTTCCTCTTTAAAGCAATGGCTTAATTCATTACTTTTCAATCTTCCTTTTTTGATATAATTATTTAAGGGCAATCATTCTGATTTTTGAATGATATTTTGAAAATTAAGAGAAGCCAAATCAACTCTAACATTAAATTTTGACTAAAGGAACATGGTCTGTAAACTGACCTCAAAACCAAATATTGGAATTTTCAGACCTTTTCTTTAGCACTTACCTTGAAAAGAATCTAATTTAGCTTTAATCAGCATTCTTAACCTTGCCACTTCTTGTCTTTTCAGTTCATCAAGTTTTGTCCTCACATGGTGACTGACTAAATCCAGTTCTTTGCTTAGCCTCCCACTCTGTTAACAAAAATGAAAAAGTAATGTTATCTATAATATTACATTTTTAGATAAGATATAATATGTCTAAAACAGGGTTATGATAAAGTAGTGATAAATACTTTGACTAATTGAGATAAATTTGATATTACAAACATTTCTTTCAGAAGAAATTCAGTTTGTAACTCTAAATTAAGACATCTAACAGCCATAATTAAAGCAAAAACAAGAAACTCAAAAAGTAACTTAAATTGTAAAATGGTGTGGCCACTTTGGAAAACAATTTGACAATTTCTCAAAAAGTTAAACACTGAGTTACCATATGATCCTGCAAATCCATTGCTAGATATATACCTAAAGAGTAGAAACATATGTTCACATAAAGTCTTAAATATGAATGTTCACAGCAGCATTTTTCACACTAGCCAAAAAAGTAGAAATAACCCAAATGCCCATCAACTGACGAATTGATAAAATATGGAATATCCAACATATGCTACAATATGCTGAACATTGAAACCACTATGCTAAGTCAAAGCAGCCAAGCACAAAAGGCCAAATTTTGTATAATTCCACTCATATGAAATGTACAGAACAGGCAAAGCCACAGAGATAGAAAGTAGATTAATGTTGGCCAGGGGCTGAGGAGAGGAAAGGAAGAGACTGCTTAATGGTTATAGGGTTTCATTTTAGAGGAAATAAAATTGTTCTAAAATTAGATAGTAGTGATGGTTATGTAACTCTGTACATATATGAAAAGCACTGCATTGTACACTTTAAAGGGGCAAATTTTATGGTATATTAATTATATTTTGATAAAGCTTTTTTAAGTAACATGGCTTCCCTAAGCTTTAGTCATTCCATATATAAAAAACCTATCAAAATTCATCTTTTTTAGGTTGTCTCCTTTGATTACTTGTTCCATAGATGAATATATACATGCTTCAAAATTTAAGAAACAAAATAGTTGGTGGTTTACTTTCTCTTGTTTATAAATGCATTTGCAATCATAAACTGCAAGTCTAGCTAGCAATCAGGCACACAAACCCTTCAGGCTTGAGTCAAGGGTGCCTGCTGAGGAAGGGAAGGGAAAGAAACTCCACAAGGGACACCGAGAAAGAATGTTCAGAGTGGGGAAAGGAGAGCCAAGAGAATAGTTTATTGTTACAGAAGCAAAAAGAGCAGTATATTTCAAGGAGAGATGGTCACTATTATTGATAAAACAATAGTTCTCAAGCAGAAGCACCAACGTCCCTTGGGAACACCAGATCCGCAGGCCCTAAACTTACTGAATCATAAAATTGGGAGGTGGGGCCCAGAAATCCATTTTAACAATTCAAAATTTTGAGAACCACTGAGATAAAATAAAGGAGTCCAGTAAGAAGAGGAATAGAATGTGTTCACTAAATCTGGCAATTAAGAAGTCATGACATCCTTCACAAAGGTACACTCGGGGAAGTGGCACAGGCAATGTCATGATCCTCCCAGTTAGCAATGTTTGGTAAGGGAAGAAATGTAGTATGAGGCTCCTTTCAAAGTGCTTAGCTGAAAAGGAAAGGACAACTTCTAACTTTTTTCTCCAGTTTTTCCTGAGAAAAGAGGAACTGCCTAGCTGTTTGAAATGATTCTGTTGTGTTGGGATTTGTTGTCTAGCTTTATTCATTTCTTTTTCATTAAATAACAGTTTAACTTACTCCATTTTTTTCTCCCCGCCTCCCCAATCCAACCCCATAAAGAAAAGGAATTGACTGTGAAAGGAAGACAGTTATAAAAGTATTCCCATACCAAATAAGCCAAGCTAGCTGCCTTTTCCCCCCTGGTTATTTCTATAGTAACTCCCATTATCCACATTTTTGTTGGTCCTCAAATAATGCTCTTAGTCCTAACTGAAGTATTGTAGATAAGAGACACTGAAAGGTCTCTATTATATATCATTCATCCCAGGAAATTAGTTCCATAGCTCAAATAAATTTTTCAAGGAAACACAAGATTATTCAGGGGATTGTGGGTATTATCTAAGTGAAATAAGTTAGGCAGAGAAAGAAAAATGCTGCCTGACATATGTGGAATCTAAAAAAACAGAACAAACCAACTAAACCAAATGAAAAACAGACACACACATGCAGAGAACAAATTGGTGGCTGCCAGAGTGGAGGGAGGTTGGGGAAGAAATGAAATGGGTGAAGGGGATCAAGAGGTACAAACTCCCAGATATAAAATAAATAAGCCATGGGGATGTAATACACTACATGGGCTGTGCAGTCAATAATATTGTATTAATTTTGTGAGGTGACAGATGGTTACCAGACCTATATTTTCCAAAGTATACAAATGTCAAATCACTATGTCCTAAACATTAAACTGATATAATACCATACGTCAAATATGTCATTTTTTTTTAAAAAAAGGAAATTCTCAAATAAAATAAAATAAAGATAATTCAAGGGAATTATTGGCATAAGGCTGCTACCATTCTCCTAGAAAAGTTCACAGCTTCCAAGAGGAAAGCTGTGAACTAAAAGCTACACACAGGCTCTGATAGTAGCCACAACCTTATGCAGTCAGACTTTCAAAAGGGGCCCAGACCAGGGACAGAAACTAAAATAAGAAGGAGGCTTGGATCCAGAATGTTTCCTTCAAATGAAGTTCTCTAGTTCTGATTCTAGAAACAGCTGAGATAATTTTTTAGGAAAGTTAAAAACAGATAAGAATAATATAAGCAAACCAATAAAACTATCTTGAGAGATATTACTGAAAGTTTAAAATTAAATCATTGGATTTTTTTTTTTTTTTAACTTCTGACTCTAAGATAAACCAAATTAAATGGATTCATTACCCTTCAAGGATGGGCTTCCCTGGTGGCTCAGATGGTAAAGAATCTCCCTCAAGGCAAGAGACCCGAGTTCAAGCCCTGGGTCAGGAAGATCCCCTGGAGAAGGAAATGGCAACCCACTCCAGTATTCTTGCCTGGAGAATCCCATGGACAGAGGAGTCTGGTGGGCTACTGTCCAAGGGGTCACAAAGAGTCGGACACGACTGAGAGACTACACTTTCACTTTCACCCTTCAAGGATGGGCTTTAAAAGAATCTCTCATGTCAGATCTTGTTTTTGCAACCTCTTTTCTTTATTATGAGTACTAAGGAGAGGTCTAGGACTAAGATAATGTCTAATAAATGGTGTTCTTAGGACAGAGGCTAATTAAACCTCCCCTATTAAAATAAGATATGGGCCATTACATCCTCTATTAATCTGGATCTAATTAAACACCAGAACTAAACTAACTCTAAACCTTTGAATAGCTTCCTGCTGGCCTCCCATCATGTTTCAAGTCTCTTACCATGATGTACAAGACCCTCTATCATCTAGCCCATGATTCCTTCCAACCTCATCTTGAGGCCAACCATGGCCTCCATTTCCCAGGCTAGCTTCCAGAAACATTTGCTACTTCCAGGTTCCTATATATCTTCTGCACCTTGGCCTGGGATGTCTCCCAGTCTTTCTCCTTTTCTGAGCCACATCTTTAAGCAATAGACATAATCTCTAGGAAGAGAAATATGACCCACCTTCCCCCACTGAATTAGGTGTCCAATCTTATATCTCCAAAATACATTATACACTTATCACATATTCATTGTAGTAATCTTTTTCTCGGTATTAGTCTCCCTTGAGGGTTCTTTAAGGGCTGCGAATGAGACTCATCTTTGTAATCCCAATACTTAGCTCAGTGTCTGGCATGCTTAAATATTTGTCAAACAATTATTTAATTACATTTACCTTTATTTCCTCTATGTCTGCTTTCTGGAGCTTTTCTCTGAAATGACTATCTGTTTCCAGCACATCAATCACTTGCTTGAGGTATTCATCATAATAAAGTCCAGTATCCTTCAAATTAAGAAACAAACAATAACTCTTCTGAAAGTTTTTCCTTCCCTGTATCTAAAGATCTCAATCCTAAAAAACAAACAAAAAACAAATGTCTAGAAAAATGGTACTGAGACAAACCTACTTTGATAGTTTTGGCAAAGTTAAAAAACTGTATTTCTCAAATGAAGAACATTGTATCAGAACCAATGTCATGTTTTACTCCTATGTAAAAGCCAATTTTCTATATCGCTTAGACAATGTAGACTTAACCAATAATATTAAAATTATTGAGTTTACCCCATTGTCACCTGTCTCCTTTATTGTTATCTGTCTCTTCTCTGAATATAATACAATGTTTTCTTGGCTGGTTATCTCCATCTTGGAAATACATTATGGTTAATTCTCTTATATACTATCTAATATACTAACGATATATATATATAACATAACTACGTTAAATAAATTTTGTCTAATATTAAACAACAACATATACTTATTCATTATACATTTTACTACTTTTTGAAAAATAGTTCCTAAATTTCCAATTTTATAAGTAACAAATCTTAGCAATATTTTAGTAAAATTCTTCCCACCGGGTTATCTTTGTCATTTCACTTACTGGTGGTTCTATCTTTGCACTGTCCACAGGCTGAGCAGATTTTACTTTTGTCTTGTCTATGTCTATAGGCACAGCTTCAAGAGTAGTAAGTGCGCACGTAACCAAGAGAAAACAACATTGTGGAAGGATGGTCCTCCACTTCATCTGAAATAAAGGCAAAATCATATTAAGGTTCTGAAAAAACGTTTTCAAACTATATATATATATATATACACACACACACCACATTACCACATTAGGACCACATTAATAATACCACAATTAATAATATAATATATTTGACTTTAGGGAGCTTAATTCTAGGAATTCCAGAATTCTAGGAAAGGGGTTAAGAATAGATTATAACATCAAAAATAATCCTTAAAATAGATCACTAAAGAAAATCAGGAAAGAAATGCTTTTCAGCTAAGATTAAAAAGACAAGTAAACAAAATTTTAAAGTTTAAACTGCTTATATAAGAAAACATTTGGTTAATTTAAAAAGCTTCAAATAAAGGTGGTAATGAGGGACTCAATTTTTTAAAAAATAAATAGCCCAAGTTTAAGAAAGGGAGAAGGGAAAACTATATATATATTTTTTCTCAATTAAAATACTAAAGAGCCAAAATTACTTCTGGATATGGTATTTAAATTAGCTTTGATCTAATTTTGAAAGTAATTTGCTCTATGAACATAAATTGATTTAAAAAGACAAATAACTGGCTGAAAATATTCTCTTAACCTTACCAGACATTATTTTATCATAACCAATGTTGTTCATTGTCCAGTTGTTAAATCATGTCCGATTTTTTGTGACCCCATGGACTGCAGCGTGCCAGGCTTCCCTGTCCTTCACTATCTCCTGGAGTTTGATCAAACTCATGTCCATTAAGTCGGTGATGCCATCCAACCAACTCATCCTCTGTTGCCCTCTTCTCCTCCCATATATGACAAAATTCTTTTTGGTCAATAATTTTTCAAATAAATAGGTCAATAAAATATCAAGCAGGATGTAACAGGGTTGAAGCAAAAGAGTAACAACTAGTGCTGGTCCCAGAATATTATTCAAATCTTGGACATCCCTGGTGTTCCAGTGGTTAAGAATCCATCTTGCAAGGCAGAGGACATCAGTTCAATCCCTGGTCCAGGGAGATCCCACATGCCACTGAACAACTAAGTCTATGTGCCACAACTACTGAGCCCATGTGTTGCAACTACTGAAGCCTGTATGCCTAGACCCTGTGCCCTGCAGCAAGACAGCCACAACAGTGAGAAGTCCAAGCACCACAGCTAGAGAGTAAGCCCTGCTCTCCAGCTAGAGAAAGCCTGCACACAGCAACCAAGGGCTAGTGCAGCCCAAACTAAATAAATTAATTAAAAATATATATATTGTTCAAATCTTGCTTATTAATTTTCTACTTTATAAGGATATTTGTAGCTCCAGAAGATCTACTATAAGAATTAGAATGAATGAAAAGCTCATTCTTAATTTATTTGATACACATAGACTTATAATAGGCTCCAAGTCAAAAATAATGGTCTGACCGTCAATCTGGAATATACATTATTTAATTCAGAGACTTCCAAACTTAGCTGGCCATGGACTTTTTTTTAAGCAACACATCTTTATCCACAGAATCCAGTCTGGAAGAATACACTGCCTCATTTTCACCACAACCCTAGGTAGTATATAGCAGTGACTCATTTTACAGATGAAGAAATTTTTAATGGAAATAATTCACTCACACAGCATTGTCTTGAATTAACAAAATCACTAGAATTCACATTTTAGTGCTATTTCTAGTATATAAAAATTTTTAGTATCATTATTGAGATACAATTCACTTGCCATAAAATTCTTCCATCTAAGGTACAGGATTTGTCTATTCTATAAAGATGTTACTCAAAGTCGAGTTCTCAAACCTAAAGGATAAAATCATCTGGGGGCTTGTTGGAAATGCAGATTCTCAGGTTGCACCCAAGACTTCCGGAGTCAGAATCTCTGGGGTGGGACCCTGGAATCTGTTTTAACAAACATTCCATGTGATCCCTACATACGGATACTCAAGTCCAAGACTCACTCTTCTCTAGGACACTAGTCCTTCAACACAACTGCTGTGAGTAAATGTTACTTATAATGAAATGTTTGGGAGATGCTGGCTCAATGAAGTTAAATATGTTCCCATCTTCATAAGACTTTTAGAACTTGAGACGGGCTATTCAGCATTAGGAATCTCTAACAGAAGGATGATTTGTTTTCCCACAGAATCTTTTCCCGGCCATGAATCACCTCCTCTTTTCACAACGATTTTTTATGATAACAAAGGTTTATTTCTTATTTCATGCTTCATGCCCACTATAGGTATATGCTTTGCTTTTGTTCTTTTGAGATATAATTTACATGCTATAAAACTTACCCTTTTCAATCACACAATTCAGTGGTTTTTAGTATATTCACAAGGCTGTGTGATTATCAACATTATCCAGTTTCAGAACATTTTCATCACACCAAGAAGAAACCACATACCTATTAGCAGTCACTCCCCATTTCTCCTATTCTCTCAGTCTGTGGCAACCATAAATCTGCTTACAGTCTATATAGATTTGCCTACTCTGGACATTTTATATAAATGGACTCATATAACATATGGTCTTTTTTATATCTGGTTTTTTTCATATAGCATTATGCTTTCAAGGTACAACCATGTTGTAACATGAATCAGCACTTCATTCTTTTTTTTTACAGCTGAATAGATATTCTACTGTATGGATATTCTACATTTTGTTTATCAGTTCATCAGTTGATGAAAATTTGGCTTATTTATGCTTTCTTTTTTTATTAAAGATTACAATAAATGGTCTCCTTTTTTGTTGTTGCTTTAAATTTTTATTTATTTATTGGTCACACTCAGTCTTTGTTGCTGTGAGTGGGCTTTCTCTAGTTGCAGGGGGTGGGGGCTACTCTTCATTGCAGTGCATGTGCTTCTCATTGTGGTGGCTTCCCTTGCTGCAGACACAGGTTCTAGGCTCCAGGGCTCAGTAGCTGCGGCTCTTAGGCCCTAAAGCACGGGCTTAGTAGTTGTGGCACACAGGTTTAGTTGCTCCACAGCATGTGGAATCTTCCCAGACCAGGAATCGAACTCGTGTCTCCTGTACTGGCAGGAAGATTCTTAGCTACTGCACCACCAGGGAAGTCTTATTTCTACTTTTTTTGGTTAGTATGAATAATACTACGATGGATATTTATGTTCCAGTTACTGTGTTTGACACAACGACTTGAATTCTTTTTGTTGTATATCTAGGAGGAGAATTGCTAGATCAATTCTGTAACTCCATTTATAATTTCTTGAGGAACTGCCAAACTGTTTTCCATGGCAGCTATATCTTTTCCCACTACCACCAGCACTATATAAGGGCCCTAATTTCTGCATCCTCGCTAACACATACTATTTATTGTCTATCTTTTATCATAGCTAACCTACCGGGTGTGAAGCAGTATCTTATCGTGAGTTTGATTTGCGTTTTATTGGCTACTGATGTTGACCATCTTTTCAAGTATTTATTAGCAATACCTTTTACCTTTTAAAAAATTAATTTAAAAAGTGTGAGTTAGTTTTTTTTTTAGTTCTGAATTGAAATTTTTGTTTACCTTTGCCAAGTCCCCTATGCCACTGTAAACAGGCTGGCCAAATGACTATTAGACAACACTACAGTTTTAAGTGTAATCACGACTGAAAAGTCCAAGTTATGACTTAACTGCCCAAGTCAACTTTGATGTCTTCTACATATACTTCTGGGGCTTAATTGAGTCTCAATGGCCCCTAACATAGTACACATATAGTTAGAAAATGAATAATTGCTAAAATGATTTGGGCATGTGTGCTAAGTTGCTTCAGTCATGTCCGACTCTCTGTGACCCCATGGACTGTAGCCCACGAGGCTCCTCTGTCCATGGGATTCTCCAGGCAAGAACACTGGAGTGGGTCGCCATTTCCTCCTCCAGGGGCTCTTCCCGACCCAGGGATGGAACCTGCATCTCCTGCAGCTCCTGCACTGTAGCCGGACCCTTTACCACTAAGCCACCAGGGAAGCTAAAAATGATTTGAATAGTCTCTATGTGCATGTGGAAAGTCAGCTCAGTGTTATACCTCCATAACTTCATTTTGCAAACCCCACCAGGAACTGTGACTGCTATCACTTGATACAGTCAATCCAGAGTTTAAAAGACCCTTTCACACAGACTCCTTCCTCCACCCTGGGTTCATCTCCAATGTTCCTCAGGCTCTCCTTTTCCCACCACACAACACATACATTAATAAACAGTTCTGCTTAGCAACTGGAAGCTATGTTTCATGCTGTTAAATATGCCCTTTTTTATAGTGTCCACCTTTACTTCAATACACAATAGAAGCCTGAGAGTAATAAAAATAAACCTTAGTTAAATACAGTCTTGGAAGTGGAATCCCTTCACCAATTTGTCATTTCTACTCTCTCAATCTTCCTTCAAGTATATCATAAAATGAAGAGAGTCACGGAGGAATGTGTTTGTATATATGAAAATGTGTGCATGTGTCCTGATAGCATCTCAAAGTGACAAAAAGTGTTTGAGAATCTGCTCTAAAATAGTGGATGAGTTTATGGTACAGAAACATTTAACTGAGTCCTAGGCTTATTATGAACAGCAACAGAAACCATCTATTGAGTGTCTACTATGTACTTCCCTGGTGACCCAGCTGGTAAAGAGTCCCCCTGCAAAGCGGGAGACCTGGGTTCGATCCCTGGGTTGGGAAGATCCCCTGGAGAATGGAACCGCTACCCACTTCAGTATTCTGGCCTGGAGAATTCCACGGACTGTATAGTCCATGGGGTCACAAAGAGTCGGACACGACTGAGCGACTTTCACCCACCCACACACACACACACACACTACGTACTAATCAGTATGCTAAATTCTTTTATTACATTAATTTAATTCTTACAATAGCCCTGTGAAATAAATACTATTATTCCCATTTTAAAGTACAGTAATCTGAAACATATCAGTTAAAAATTTTGAGCTGGGTCACATGGCAGTAAGTGGTAGATCCAGAGTTTGGACCTGGGAGTGACTGAAAGCCTATGTCCAAAGCCTATGTTTGCTTTTAAGCAGTGATTCTCAAAGCATG